TTCAAATGCGAAACTGAAAAAATCATCAAAATACCGAATATCAGGAGGTGCCGTAATATGGGGCTATACGAAGACGTGGACTTACACAGACAATTTTATGTCTTAGGCTGTAGCATGCATTGCGAACTTCTAATACCAAATTTCAAACAAATCCTGTGAATAATGTCACTAAAATACCGAAAATATGGATGCACCATTATATGGGGGCTATACCAAGATGTGGACCTACATGGTTCATTTTCAATACCAAAAGTCCAGCAGACATAATATACATTTGAGTAAAATTTTATAAACCTACTTCATTTCGTTCGGAAGCTAGAGTGATTTCCACAGACGGACGGACATCGCAAAATCTAAATTATTCTGATCAAGAATATATATACATTGCGGGGTCGTGGTGATACAAACGGAATGACAAACTTAATATACCCTCCATATAGTTTTTCAACTAAAATTTGACGAAGTGGCGGTTTAGTTTTAAATATTTTCCAGGCCCCAGAAAAGCCACAATCGCGATTTTTTTAGTTTTTTTTTTTTTTTTTGATTCTCAAATGGGCCGAAACGCAAATTATTCTATTTTTGGCGTTTTCTTTACATACAAATATTATTTAAATATGATAACTTAATTTCCAAAACTTTAATGTTGTTAAAAAACGTCCCAACATTCTACCCTTACTTTGCAAACGCCACATCAAATCTCCTTAATATCCCCACCGGAAGAACTCAAGTTGATTCAGTCTGCACTCATTTCTGTCAATCGTTTTAAAAGACAATGTCAAGCCTTTTTGTTTTATCAACATTTTAGGCAATTCTCGCTGAATGTCACTGCATCTTCGTTGTCACTCAGCTCTAGTTCTGGCGACACTATCACAACTCTCAGCCCAAGCAAAGAGCTAAGCTATGAGATTAATTTAAACTGAAACCGGATTAAATCCATTGAATTTGGCTGACATCCAAGTGGGGCTGTCAACGATGGAGACACAGTCATTCAGATAAGCTGCTAGGCCGTCAGACAAGCGTTAAGTTATGCTGTTCGATAGTGAGATGTTGGATGTTAACAACGTGGATTTTGGCTTGCTCTGCAATGTTAATGTGGATTCTTTAACATGCGATTTTATTGAATGTGAACTTTTTTTCTCTTTTGTTTTGTTCAAAATTTTGCATTTATTTTTAAACAAAAATATTTATGTGACAACGTGCTGTGACATAGCCCCCTCGAACATTAATAACTTTTAAAGATACTTAAAAATTGGGTTTAGTTTATGGTTTGCCAATTGGAATTGAGTCAGTGGTCTTGCCTCGATATAGGCGTGTTAATTGTTTTTTGCCCTTTTGATTCGGAGCCATAAATGTCCTTGCACTTCGATGGGTCTAAATATATGTGTTTGTACAACAAACGAGGTAGTTTTATAATTATGTTGAAAATTTAATATTTCGTTCAGTGGAATTAGAGAGGTACCAGCCAATATGTAGGATCAGATTTACACGTAAAAATAAACGTTTATATTGGGAATTTATGTGATTTTATAGATAGATTTTACAAACAATAAATCTCTGAATGCTTAATATGGCTTCAGAGCAGATATAATTTGGAATCGGAGGGATATATTCAACTCAGAATCGATTTCACCAAATTTGACGGAGACATTTGTACCTCTTGTATCAAATAGCATTGCTATAGAGCAAAAACAAACAATTAAAAAAATGTAAGTTCAGCCAAGCGGAACTTCAAATACCCTCCATCATTTGAAAAAAATTTTCAAATCTTCAAAAAAGTCCTTTAATCCATAAAGGAATATAGAATGTTACCGTTACATTGGGACCTATACGAAGCCCTGGATATGCATAGGCAATTTTCTGTTACAGGCTGTAGTACTCATTACGAACTTACAATACGAAATTTGAAAGAATTCCGATGGATAATGGGACGTAGCTTTATATGGGGGCTATACGAAGACCTAGACCTGCATATGCAATTTTCCGACAGTTGTACCCACAAGGAACTTCAAATTTCGAATTTTAAACATTTTTGCTTAAAAGTGTGGCACAAATAATCGAAATAGCGAAAAGTTCAGCAGACCAAACACACATCCATGTAAAATTTTATAAACCTACTTCACGTCAGATAGACGAACGGACATCTCTAAATGGACGTAAAAATTCTTGCTGATCAAGAACATATATATTTATTGGGGTCTAAATATATATATTTCAAGGTATTACAGACGGAATGACATACTGTGATGGAGGGAATAAAATCTTTATCGGAGCTATAGATATATGGGAACCGAGTTTCACCAAGTGTAGTATCTGCTTCCAGGATTGAATTCTATTCGATTGAATGTGCAAAAGTGCATCCAATTTGGGCTTATATTACACATTGTGCACTACAATAAACGTAAAATCGTTTGAAGATATATACAAATAAACTATATACAAATTTAAACCGATATCGATAAAATTTGACAGAACTTTCTGAGCTTTATCTCGTATCTGGTACCAAATATCATTGTTGTGGAGTGCACATTACGAATGTAGGGGACTTAAGCACCAAATCAGATGAAACATATGTATGAAGATATCTAAAACTTCATGCATATGTTTCATCTGCATCGATTTTAACCAAAATTGCCACACTTTCTTCTAGACTGAATTCGGTCGTATGTGTCAAAATGGGCTGATATTACATATTTGGTGCACAATATACTTGAAATTTGACGAAGTCATATATGGAAGCAATATCCACGTCTGGACCGACTGATATCTGGTACATCATTGTCTTAGAGTGCATATTACGAAACTTAAACACCAAATCGAATGAAACATATATTCGGTGGCTATAGCCATATCTTAATAATATTGCAGCACCTTAGGAGTATTTTTTTCTAGGCTAAATTCGTTAGTATGTGCTAAAATCGACTCAATTTGGACTTATAATACGCATTTGGTGCATAATATACATGAAATCGGACGAAACACCTCAAAATATATATATGAGAGATATATCTAAATATGAACCAATCTCGAGAACATTTGGCAGAGGTATTTTTGAACTGTTTCTGATATCTGGTACAAAATATATTTGTTGTGGGGTGCGTATAACGAATGTGGGGATACACAAATTTCAAACTTCAAGAAATCGATAAATATCAGATAAAAAATAATAAATGTTAAAAAATGCGTAGACAAATTTTGAAACCCTTAACTCCCAAATTTAAAGCACAGAATATAGGACTTAGATTTTGTTTAAACATAGTGTGTCCATGACATTTCAATTCTCAAAATAATAAAAAAGATATAATTTAGAATATACAGTCTATTTCATGTATAACCCAGGTTTTTAATTGTTATGTCCTAGGCCACACTGTGGTACAGGATATTATGTATTTTTGTATTTGTTTGTACTATGAAGGAGGAAACGAAATAGGCCCACAGTTTCATTTGATGATCATGTCCGTCAAGATATATTTAATTATACCCTCAGCCATATGGCTACAGAGTGTATTTATCATTGGATACGGCCAAAACATGCCTCATCGAAATAACGGTTTTAGACCCTAGGTCTCTTTGGACCAAATCCGTTTCAGCACATTTAGAGTCGATCTAGCGATGTCCGTCCGTCTGTCTGTCTGGCTGGTGCGCACGATAACTCTCGAAGGGAGTATCCGATTTAATCCAAACTTGGTACATCGTAATATTCTTGTTAAGCTTAAATCGTGTTCGGTGATGTGCAATATTGGTCCATTCCTTCTGGTACCTCCCCCACAAAAGGTTGAAATTTTCAAAAAATATATTTTTTGCACAGAAAGAAAAAGGATAATCCTATTTTGCTCCAGCTTGGCAAATCCTAATATTTGCGTCAGTGCTATGTCAGATGCGAAAATGGATAATATCGGTCGACACAAGTACCTCCCCCAAAATTTTGAATAATTACAACCCTTATAAAATGTGATGAAAGAGTCCGATTGTCTTCACATTTCACACATCCCAATATTTTTATTAACCCAAGGTCTGTTACCAAAATGGAATACATCGGTCCACTCCTTCTGATACCTCCCCCTCAAAATTTTGAAATTAAAAAAAAGAAACAAAAAATATTTTATGCACAGCCATAATCCGATTTTGCTCCAACTCTAACTCTTGAAAAAGTTTGAAACCCTTAACTCTCTATTTAAATCCCAGAATATACGATTTAAAAATAAAGCGGGATTGAGTTCAAATAGAAGGACTCGGGGAGTACTTTCCGAATACATTAACTTATGGGCAAAACTAATTTCGGACTTTAAAACTTTTTGTATCATCAGAAAAATTATCGCTCAATTTGTGGGGAATTACAGATAAAAGGATCCGCTGAACATAAATTTATGAAGCGTTGAAAAATAGTGAATGTTGATGTCTGTTCAGTGGACTGCTTCATTCTTACTTTCTGTTCAATGGACCCTATCGTACGTAATTTACCTAAAATTATTGACTTTTCGTTGGAGCCCTGGAATATGAAATAGATTAAATATTCTAAATTTTTTTATTATTTTAAGAATTTAAATGCCATGGATCAAATAGTTGCACTTTTACCTTTTATTTCCATATCTGTATTATATAATTCAAGACATTTTAATTAATACTCCTAAAAATTTTCGATTGATGAGGTTAGAATAAACATATATATGGCAGATATTTGAACTTCAAAATTGAATATTTACGTCATTTTTAAATACATCCTTACGTCCTGAGTAAATGCAAAGAAGCTATTAAAAGATTGCTCCAATCTGATGTGTGTTTCTTTTCTTGAGTTTTGTCAACTTATCTCACCGCCCCACATCAAAATATTTTTATATTACCGGCTTAATGGTGAGGTTGTTTACATTATGTTGTTATTTTTTTCTTCACCATTAACCACATTGCTGTTTTATGTTGCTGTCGTCCGACTTCGACATAAACCAGTTATGTAACAGTTAATGCTTTACAACATTTTCATTTTTATTTTTTTGCTTTCATTTCAGATCACTGTCATCCTGTGTACAGTTCAAGTAACAACAACATGATGTCCTATTCCATGCTAGTCGCTTTGGTTGGTATTACGTTTTTTTTTCTTATTTTCAATTAACAATGTTACTTTTTTTCTTCTTTTAGGCCATTTTAGGTTTAAATCTTTTCTTGGCCACCCTTGTTGCCGGTCATGGCCGTCTGATGGATCCACCCGCCCGTAATGCCATGTGGCGTTTTGGTTATCCAAATCCCGTGAATTACAACGACAACGAGTTGTTCTGTGGCGGCTATGCCGTGCAATGGGAACAAAATCAAGGTCGTTGCGGTGTCTGTGGTGATGCGTATCATTTGAAGACACCACGTCCCCATGAGGCCGGCGGTGAATATGCCAAGGGTATTATTTCGAGATATTATACAGCTGGTCAGGTGAGAAAAATATATTTTTTTATACCCCAACTCCCTACACCGTCTAAATATTTTATTTGAAAACAAGACAAAAAATACAGAGTGAGATAAAAAAAATGCAACAAAGTCAAACGCCATAATTAAAATCTTTTTTTTTTAATTTAATTGAATGAAAGCAAAAAATGTCGGAAATAGTATCAAATTTTAGAATAAGTTTAGATTTGTTCGAATTGGCCACCTTTGGCACGAATTATGGCCAACGAATTCAAACGGCCAATGAAACCGTCACCCGCTGCCCGAGTGTTGCTCTGCGTTATTTTGGCACATTCCCGGCGAAGCGCTTGCTTGAAGTGATCGACACTTTAATATTTTTTAGTCCCAACCTTGCTTTTCAAAATATTCCAGACAAAATAGTCCATCGGATTGGTATCCGGAGATTTTGGTGGCCATTGTGCGCTGGAAATGAAGCGAGGAACCTCAGAACCATTCTTGGGTGGCGTGTGCCGAGTACGGTGCTGAGTCCTGTTGGAATGTCCAAGGTCTGCGGCCAAAATGTTTGCGTGCCCAAGGCTTTGATACACCCTCCAGAATAATTTCGCTATGATATTCGGCATTTATTCTGATGCCACGGTCGATTAATACGAGCGGAGAGCGACCATCGGCTGTTATGGTGGCCCACACCATCACCATGGCCGGCGCTTGAGTTCTGGTGGCCAACCGAAAGTGCACATTTTTAGCTGACCTCTTTGGCAAGTAAACACGATCATTTTGTTTGTTTACAAACTGCTGGACAACGAATGTTTTCTCATCGGAGTATACCAAATTCGGCAGTTCAGCACTTTCTGCCAAGCGAATCAACTCTTTAGCTCTTTTGAGTCTATTTCCTTTCTGTTGCGGTGTAAGTTCTTGCACTTTTTGGAATTTCAATGACTTTACCCCGAGCTCATTTTTCAATATTTGCCGAATGGAATAAGGCGACATGTTCAGCTCACGGACCAATTTTTCTGCCACTGCAATTCGGACTTCGATCAAGTCGTTTCTTTACTTTTCGAACCATTTCTTCTGGTGTTGCTGTTTTCTTCCGTCCACTTCCTTGACGTTGGGCTACGCTACCAGTATCACGGTAAGGAGCGATGGTACGAGGCACAAAAGATTAATTCATATTTGAATGCTGGAGTGCTCTAACGATAGCCCCTTTTGGTTTTCCATCCAGATAGAAAGAAATCACATTATCACCCTTGAATTCCATCACGAATAACATTTTTTCTAAACAATATAATGAGTTGTCACTGGAATAATTTTAACAGCTGTCCGACGAGTGGCTTTGAAATGACAGAAGTCTGAAGTTGGTTGCAGTTTTTCCATCTCACCCTGTACGTATACAAAATTATACCTGAAATTTATGGTTCTAAGCTGAGGGTTTATATGTGTCAGGAGTCCAGCTGATATGTTTTTTTACGGGTTACTGTCATAATTTCAAGTTAATTGTATTACATTTAATTTTCTTCCTTTTGTACGCAGGAAATTGAAGTCGAAGTTGAGCTGACTGCAAATCATTATGGCCGCTTTGAAATGTATTTGTGCCCGAATAATAATCCACGCAAAGAAGCCACTCAGGAATGTTTTGATCGTTATCCTTTGTATATCTCTAATAGTCGGGAACATCGGTTCCTCATACCTCGCGATGCCAAAAAGAAGGACATATTCCGTTATCGTGTCCGTCTGCCACCCTATGTCACCTGTACACAATGTGTTTTGCAATGGACCTATTACACGGCAAATATGTGGGGTACTTGTGCCAATGGTACTGAGGCGGTGGGATGTGGTAAAGCTGGTAAGCAACATAAAAAGGAAAAAAACACCGCAAGGAAACCTCCCTTTCTTAATTGCGAAAATTAAAAATTTTATTTTTCATGAATTTCCAGAAACCTTCCGTAATTGCGCTGACATTGCCATTGTTTCCAACACGGGCGGTGGTTTGCCACCTCTCTTCGTTAACAAAAAGAATCCTTATCTTTTGTACTACAGAGATTATAGAGCGCCTGAGGAAAATAATGTTTTCCCTTTGATTGTCAGGTAAGTGAAGGAGGTTGCTTCGGATGTGCCAAGCCGAATTGAGACTATAAATCATTAAGCCACTGATTATTCTGTACATAAATTTTGATATCGATCTATGCTTTTTTGCTTTTTATAGAAACTCCTCAAGACACTAGTGTGTCTTACAAAAGAGGATGGAGAAGCGTTACTGCTCTACTAGCTCTACTACTACTACCTACCACTACTGCTACAGCTTTTATGCAAATAAAAAGAGTCGCACAAAGTCTTTCTTGTAAATGCTTTTCTATAATGCACATTACATGACCAGCACTGAAACTGAGAGGAATTGATCTTGATCTGCTATGGCATCAGGCGCTTATTTCCGCTCATGACACACACACACACACTCATCACCAACACATATGCACAAATTTATTTACACTGAAACAAAGTTGTATCGGAAAATTGTTATGGGATTCAGTTATAAAGAAAATTATAGAATGGATCCCAAATAAGTTTCGTTACAACCTTGAGCCCATTGATTACCTCATATCCTACACATATGTATAAATATCAAAAACTTACATAAACATATATCTCTTCAAACATTTTTCATACCAAAACAAGAAAAAAAAAAAACAGAAAAAAAATTACCAAAAAACAAAGAAACAAAAAGCTTCGTAAAAAACAAAAGAAACTGATTTTTTATGCATTTAACATTTTTTGTTTGTTTTTTTTTTATTAAAATTATTACTGCCATTAACACCATAATGTGTTGCTCACTCTTTGTTTTTTTTAATATTATTTTATATTTTTATATATTTTATTGTACATTTTAAGTTGTAAATTAATGCTTTTGGCTGGGGTTTATTAAATTAAGTGTAAAAATAAAATAAACCAAAAACTGAAAATAAAATCGAATAAATAAAATAAAACTTTACTAAATGCTGTTTTATTCACTATCGCTGTATATATATATGGTTATGGAAATAAAAATAATTACTTTTAATAAGAATTCACCTAATTTGTAAATATATATTTTCAAATTTTTTTTATTTTAAAACTAACGTGTAAATATTTATGTGTGGCAACCCCTTATTTAAATTACGTCTGAGTGACGCCATCTAGTGGCGAATAGCAAAGGAATTGTTGATATGACTAAAAAGCACAGAGTTGTATTGTAATAACATTTGTTTAAAATATTTGAATTTCCACCTTCTGAAATATGAAATGTAGATGGCGATCATCCAGAAAAAATGTTACATAAAAGGGAAAGCAGAAAGGGCGAGCTACGCGTATCACCGTGTCACGCCTTAACTTGTAAATATTTATTTCATATCCATATTCCACCCCTGAACAACGCTAAATGTTGCACATATTTCTATGTATGTTGCTGGTCTCCTTGTTCAGTTTTTATTTCTGTGAAAAAACTAAGTTTTATTACATTTTTCATCCGGCGTTTCGTTGGTTTTTTCCCAACCTTATTAAGACTGGATTTTATTCAAGGATTCTCTGGTAACAGAAACTAAATGGTTTACAATTAATCGTACTTTTCGTATTAGATATTGTGTGAAGATACGATATTTCGCTTCACTATTTCCAGTGTCTTTCCGACAAACGGCCAAACTTTTGAAAAATAATATATCAAATATAAAGGCAATTAACTTTACGACCACGTCCAAAATTTGCATATTATAATATTCGTAACAAATTTTGGCCTGGTAGAAAAGTAAAAAAAATGGGAACAAATTTTTTTTTATAAAATTCGAGCATTTTTTTAAATTGACCACATTAAGTCAATTTATTTGATACGGCAAAAATGTGCCCCGTCGAAATAACGGTTGTAGACCCTAGGTGGACCAAGTCGATTTAGAGTCGATCTAGCGATGTCCGTCCGTCCATCTGTCTGGCTGGTGCGCATGATAACTCTCGAAGGGAGTATCCGATTTGGTCCAAACTTGGTACGTCGTAATATTTTTGTCAAACATAGAACGAGTTCGGGGATGGGCAATATCGGTTGAAGCAAAATCGGAGTATCCTTTCCCTTTCTGTGCAGTCAAATACTTTTTTGAAAATTTCCACCATTGGAGAAGAGGTGCCCACAAAAGGTGGAAATTTTCAAAAACAAAAATTATTTTACTGCACTGAAAAGGAAAGTATAATCCGATTTTGCTCCAACTTTCAAATCCTAATATTTGCATGAGTGCTAGGTCAGGTGCGAAAATAGACAAAATAGGTCCACTCCATCAAGTACCTTATAAAATGTGATGTAAGGGTCTGATTGTTTTCAAATTTCACACATCCCAATAATTTTATTAGTCTAATGTCTGGTGTTAAGATTGAATATATCGATCCTCTCCTTCTAGTACCTCCCCCACAAAGGATCAAAATTTTGAATATCCATGAAGCTCATAAAACGCGAACTTAACTTCAGATTCCATTCAGACTTGGAACATCCGAATATTTTTATCAACACAGCGTCTGTTATAAAGATCTGACCATTCCATCTGGTACCTCCCCCACAAAGGGTTAAAGTTCCATTATTTCCACTAACTCAAGATCTTCTGTAAAGATGGTATATCTCGGTCAACTTCTCCCCACAATATTTCCATCAACACAAGATCTGTTATAAAGATTGTAGGGATCGGATTATTTCTTCTGATACCTCCGTCACATAGGGTTCAAGATTTTTAAAAACAAAACGCTCAAATAAAGCGAAATAAGCATCCGACTCCCTTCAAATTTCACACACACAAGATCTGTTGTGAAAATGATATATATCTGAACCCTTTCAGGTACTCCACCCACAAAGGTTCACAATTTTCAATACTTTTATCTGTCATAACTTGCAAAACAAATCAGCGATTCTTTACAACTTGCTATATCTAAATATTTCTCTCAACCAGAAACCTGAGATGAATATGGAATTTATAAAATTGAATATAAATATTCGATTTCCTTGAAAATTTGCCCATATTAATATTTTTATCTGTATTAGATGAAGCATGCTTACTTCGGTCGACTATACTTGGTCATGTATAGTGAAGGAAGTTACCAACCTGTTTTCAAGTTGCCGCCTATTTATATCGTATTTATTTAGGTTCGATACGAAATAGACAATATTGGCCCATTTCCTCAGAATCCACTCCATAGAGCGTCAACAGTTTAAATAATCATAACAGAAGTCGAAATATATATTGAAATAATCACGACGTCTGTCGGCAGAGTCGATTGATATTTTTTAACTTTTGTCAATTATGACTGTCGGTTGGTTGCTAAATTCAATTAATAATTTTCTTTAATAAAAATTGTACATATATTGATTAATATTTTAAATCTATTAGAACCAAAAAGATATATGGGACCTGTTTTATCTAGGACGATACGGAAATTAATGTGAAAAAACCTTATTCTTTATTTGTAGTTGTATAATATATTTAAAATCATATTTGTAATGGTTCGTATCGTCATTCACTTTCGTATCGTCATACAGAAATAAGTCCATATATTACGGAATATTAATATATTTGTTTCATCTTTTGTACAGATTTTTGAATAGTGATTTCAGTGTATTTTAAAGTTTTTATTAAAAAATATTGTAAAATTATGGATTGTTTTAGAATATGGTATTTAATATGGATACTACCGAAGTTGAACTAATGAATAATCAATTTATACACACGAGTTTAACTTCCGCAATGTCCTTTAACTAATCAAATTTAAAAATAAAAATTGGGAAAATTTAACACTTGGCATCTGGAAAGGTAAAGGCCATAATGAGTAGTATAAAACAGGAAATTTGTACGACTCCAACTAAAATGGTTTTAAACAAATGATTTTTTGGACTCGGGTCTGGTTTATCTACTGGGAGAGGTGTAACGAATTTTCGAATGCGGCGACGACTTTGTTTAGCATTCAGTTGAACCGGGTTAAGCTTTGTGTCTGCTTTTCTTTGCTCTGTTTCTTTGCTTAATTTCCCCGGAGTAATGGCTACGAAATTTTGACTAGAATTTTCGGAGATGTTATTAACTTCATCCTTTATGGCAGATTTAGACTTCTTTTGATCATTATCTTTCAAACTACTATTTCTCGGTTTATTGCTGCTTAAAATATTGTTGAAAAAAATGGGATCATGATCAAGTATATTGAAGGTAATTTCAGGGTTCTTAGATTTGATGTATTTTATTAACATATTTGGGTTTTCTTTAAGTTCCATAAACGAAGTCTCTTTCATTTCTGGAGTTTTAGCATCCAATTCCACAAGGAAAGGTTGGCTGGATTCTGTTTTTAGTTCGACAATTGACTTATGGGCAATACAAAATTCCAAAGCTATGCCAATGATGTTCATAATGCCTTGGGGTTTTATCAATATTGTGGCTTCATTCTCAGGACCTCTTACATAAGCTTGGGTTTTTATTTGCAATATAATTGGAGCTTTAAAACGGCTTGTTAAAATCATATCATGCCTAGTGTCCTTGATCTCCTGATATTTTAAAATATTTCGTTGAGAATTTGTCCTATGTAAGGTTGATTGCAATTTTTCGCCCAAGGCTCTTAAAATTAAAATCTCTCGTTCTAGTGAGGGTACATTTTTAAACACCACATCCACCTCTAGTTTTTTAGGTTCCTCGGGACAAGTGTTACTTGCCAGCGGTTGTTCCCTGTTTTTCAACTCAGAATCTTCGTGAAGATTTTCCTTGGATTCCAATTTGCTTAATGCCTCCTTAACGACATGTTCATGTTTTAATATATCCTTTAGCTGGTCCCTTAGAATATCCTTAAAAAGTTTGGGATTATTTTTATCTACACATCGAGCACGTTCATCAGATTTGATAACATTTTTTACCAATTCCAATTCTTCGGGTTTCATGTCGCCTCTACCTCTCTCTTGTATGGCCTCATGAAAATGTCTGAGGATGTGTCGGCTGCTCTTTTGGAGGTTTAAATGAGATCGTGATGACATTAAGGGAGCCAATTTATATTCTTCTTCCTCCTCCTCTCCACCATCTTCAGATTCATAATCTTCTTTATACACTGAAGCCGACTCCATGCGAGCTGCATAACTTGGCGGTGTTGGCAAATTTGTCGAGCTTCGTCTTGAAATCGGTATGGCACTTTGTCCGACACACATTCGATTGTCATGCACCATCACGGATGATTTAGAATTTATTAAACTTCGAGCATTCATGAGATCTTTAATCATTTTGGTAGGCTTGTTATTATAAAAATATCCACGATTATCCATTTCGGGCATTACTGTGGGTTTTGGAAGACGACATTTACTTCCACGGGGATTGACTCCGCCAACACGATTAGAATTGGGGGTCAATGGACGCCGGGGACTTTCTCTTTGGACCAAAAATTCCTGTGGTTGTTTCTGGTGCTGATACATCAATTGTTGTTGTTGCTGCTGATGATTTGCCGCCATCTGCTTCATTAGTTGAAAACGTTGAGACGGTTTTGATCTCAAATTCGTTCTAGATCTTGACAGGTTTTCCGAGCTAGGCGAATTCCGAGCTCTGCTTAAACGTTCCCATGCATTTTCTTTTCTGAAATTAATTAAAATTTAGATTAGTGTTCACGAGCAATAATTTGATTTTCGATAATTACCTGTTATGGCTGTTCATTCGATTCATTTTTTGCAAGCGTTATTAATTGGCTATTTTCAGATAGCAATTATAAATTTTGAAGAAATTATATTTTTTTCTATTTTATGTGCTTATTTTATTATCTGACACAAACTATTTTTCTTCTTTTTCGAAAAGTAATTTTAAATGACAAGAAACTACACTTTCAAAAATGTATAGAATTTATTAAATTTATTTTTTTCTTCACTTGCAGAGACCAAAAATGTATTGCCTCTCCAGCATTCCGTGCTCTGCCTGGTATGGATAATTGGTGCGAAACCAATTGTTTACGTTATCCACCCAATTGCCCGGAAACTGCCTGTCACTGTCCGTAAGTATTAGAAAATTTAAGACCAATCTACACATTATGATAGAGTCATATCTAAAGAGGAGTCTTTAAATAAATTTCATATTATCAAACACTTCGTCAATTTCTTTTACATTACAGCCAAGAATGTGTTGCCATTGGTGAACTGGAAGGCAAGGAAGGCACCGATACCTGGTGTATGGATCAATGTCTTAATTATGATTCTCATTGTCCTACTGATAAATGCCGCTGCTTCTAGAGACTTGATATGGTCGAATCTGTGCACCATAGGAAATCTGGTATTTTCTTCGCCGATTCGATACAATGCGCTGCCCAAAATTAACTTTACACTTATGTATATGAAAAATAATTTTGTAGAACTATTTTCTTATTCAACAGCTGTGCTTCGAACTCTGTGCCCATTTAACGAAAAAAAAAACTAAATAAATTTATCAAAAATATAGAGGTTGTGAATTTTAATTATATCTCCAAGATGATGCAGGTAAGCTAAAACTAGGAACATCACTTGCGAAAGAACATGACTTCAAATGATACTTTCAAAAACATCAAAAAAAAGTACTTGATGTGAGGCACTGTATTCAAAAGTAGGGAAAATACATTGGAGACGCGGTTCGGATGTTACTAAGTTTATCTGGGTACTTTTTCAGTTATATTTACTCAGTAAATTTTTTCGAGGAAGAAAGTCACTTTTTACTCAATATTTTAAAAATATTGTAAAAATAAATTGCACCATTTAGTGTACTAAATGATTTACTTCGATTTTATCGTGAAATTGAAAGATGTTTCTACAAAATATATTTAAATTGATTTGAGAAGTCACCTGTGTCTTCTTGCAAAACACTACTAAATACATTTTTCGCAGTATAAACATTTTCAGAAAACCTCGGAATTCATTTTCACTGAAATTTCGTATAAATTATTACAAAATATCTAGTATACCGACTCATTTATAGTTTTATATTAATTTTAATTAATTAAGCAACGTAGTCAAGGTGAGGGGATAAATTTGGTAAATTTTTAGATATTTTTTTAACTTCTAATTTTCGTTGGTTGGGTTGATTATATTATTAAGAGTTCTCAAAAATGTTGGCCCTGTATCAGGTAGCTAACGGAAATGGTGGGTAAAAGCTCACAATTAAATGCATTTTGAAAGTTTCGGTGCATTTTCAAACCAAATTTATTTTAAGGCTTTAAACCCGGATAGAATTTCCAATATATGTTCACTAGGATCAGGATTCTCTTTGCTTTATACGGGAACTGGATCTAGGAGAAAAATATTGCGATGTGAAACGTATAAAAAAGTACATGCGCCTCTACAGGGCGGTCATGGCTCTAAAAGGGATTTCGCCCAACGGATCATGTGACAATGGCATTAAATATACCTGTGTAATACGTTAACTCTGTACGTTAACTCAATATAAAATTTTGCTATTATTGGATCAGGATTATATTTGTTTAATATAATTTATATAGCTTTTTATCATCAATAGGAATATGTATTTGGAACCACTGTTATAGAAATCTGACAACTTTTCGAAGATTTTCTAACAAAAAATATCAAATGTTCTTTACAAAAATGTGCCACGAGCGATTACTACGTGGTGTCTATATTCGGGATCGATAGGATTCTCTTTTCCTTTCGAACAATTTATGAATGATGTTAATTATTGGACAAATTATGTGCTATAAGATGAATGCTTGCAGGTCTCAGCACTCTACGGGAGGGTAGCAGATGTATGTGTGTTTTTTTCAATTGGTAGCTACTATATATATTCCGTATATGAAGAAAATATTGAAGTACTCACCTGAACGCTGATAAGCTGCATCTGTAAAACAAATAAATTAAAGTAATTCAAGTTATTTCCAATTGGAAAACATGTAATCGAATATAGTACATACCTTTATATTTGAAATCAACTACGTCTTAAATTCGACATTTTTAGTGATTACTGAAGACAGATTAACACGAACCGACCGAATAAATTTTGAAATTATACGCAAACAATTAAAACTCCCAATAAGAATCTTTTATTTTCAACTTCTTGGCTTCCGACGGGTATTATGTATGATGTACGATCATCAATGGAAAAGCACACACAACGAATTGATACGAACAACGTCGCGCACATAGTCACAAAATAGGCGTCGTGCTTCTTATTTGGAGGGAAATGCCATCACAAATTTCACAATGAAAGAATAAGCTTTTTTCACAAACTTAAGTTATACTTTTGATATTAAACACAATTATAGAAAGGAGACTTGCGAAAAACTCGGTTTTATTATTTATTTTCCGTTTATTTTTACGTTAAAACTATTTAATTTCATATTTTTGAGAACTTTGAAAAACGCTCGCACCGGCTTGAAAAGAAACGAAAAACTAAAGCAAACAAGCGAAAGAGTTTTGCTTTTGTTATTTACCGGGTGTGTCATACTATGCACTTTTATATGATTGGTAGAGAGTTTACAATGACAATTATCTCTATGTCACCTTGTTGTAAGTTATAAATTATGCATTCCACAGGTTATTTTTTTTTTTGTGCAAAAATATCATTGTTCTTTTTGTTGTTATACACCATTCTTTGGAAGCGACGTTTGATAACCCCTGATTAATTATTGTTTTTCGGCAATTTTCATCAATGGAAAAAAACATACAACGAATTGAAACGAACAACTTCACGCACATAGTCACAAAATAGACGGCATGGTGGGAAATGCCGTTAGAAATTTCACAATGGATGAACAAGATTTATCACAAAGTTTATTTATTTTTTTGATGTTAAACACAATTAGAGATAAGGAGACTTGCGAAAACCCCGGTTTTATTATTTATTTTCCGGTTATTTTTACGTAAAACCTATTTAATTTTATCTTATTTTTCCGAACTTTGAAAACGCTTCCACCGGCTTGAAAAGAAACGAAAAACTAAAGCAAACAAGCGAAAGAGTTTTGTTTTTGTTATTCACCGGGTGTGTCATAGTATGCACTTTTATGTGATTGGTAGAGTTTACAACGACATTTATCTCTATGTCACCTTGTAAGTTATAAATTATGCATTCCACAGGTTACTTTTTTTGTGCAAAAATATCCTTGTTATTTTTGTGGTTAAACACCGTTCCTTGAATGTGAAGTTTGACAAACCCGGATTTATTATTATTTTCAGGTAATTTTTATCAATGAAAAAGCACACACAATGAATTAATACGAAGAACTTTACGAACATAGTCACAAAATTGACGGCATAGTTATTATTTGGAGGGAAATGCTGTTAGAAATTTCACAATGGAGGAATAAGCTTTTTCCACAAACTTAGTTTACATTTTTAATGTTAAACACAATTAAAGGGAAGAGACATGCGAAAACACCTGGTTTATTACTTATTTTTGGCTAATTTTTGCATTAAAAATCTTTAATTTTATATTATTTTCGCGAACTTCGAAATACACTTGCACCGGCTTGAAAAGAAACGAACAACTAAAGCAAACAATAGGAAAAGTTTTGTTTTTGTTATTAACCGGGTGTGCCAGAGTAGACACTTTTATACGATTTGTAGGGAGTTTACAGCGACAATAATCTTTATGCCACCTTGTTGTAAGTCATATTTTATACATTCCACAGTTTAAATTTTTTGTTCAAAAAAATCCGACTAATTTTTGTAGTTAAACATAATTTCTCTAATGCGAGGTTTGCAAAAACGAGTTTATTATTTGTTTTCCGTTTCTGTTCACCTTAAACTATCTACTTTTGCCTTAATTTCACGAACTCTGAAAAACACTTGCGCCTGCTTGAAAAGAAATGAAAAACTAAAGCAAACTGAGAGGAAGACTTTTGTGTTTGTCATTTACCGGGTGGGCCGTACTAAACTTTTATCTGATTTACAGGGTGCCTACAACGAAAATTATTTCTGTTGTAAATTAAGCAAAAATAAAAGAGCGAAGACATCAATCACATATATATTCCACATTTTGTGCAGTTCAGTTTAATTTTTTGAACAGAAATATTCGTGTTATATGTAGTTGCGGGATTTCTTCCAAATAGCGTGTCAGACAGAGATCGTAGATCTACTTAGAATTTTACGCCTGCGAGTAAATTGCAAGGGAAAAAGTCAAATTAATTTTCGATAATTTCTTTTTAAAAATATGACTTTTATATCAGCACATACAAATGAAATATATTTTCAATGTTTTATAAAATTTTATGTGATCTGTTCCAGAACCGCAAGAATGTTAAAGTTTTTACTACGATAGCCGATTTCTTACAATTTCCCTTTATGATATCGAAAAAATTGCAAAACTAGTAGATTCTTGCAGATTCTAGAATAGAGCAATAAACAGGAGGTAGAATCAATGTTAATTTAGTGAAATCACACATGAGATGAATTCAGTAATTACGGTAAGGATATATAAGATATTTTTTCGAAAAAGGGCAAAGAAATTAGGGTAACTAATTTAAATTATGGATCAAAATTGAGTTTAACCTTGTTAAGGCAAAAATCATATGTATATGGTTAATTCTTATTTATTATTAGTAAAATTAAGAAGGTAAAGTAATTTCAAATATGCTTACCCATCTCTGCATTTTCTGCAATTGACCTTGTCAAATTTCACTACATAGAAAAGTGGTTCCCATATCTGATTTGTGTATGTACAATGACTTCATAAATACACATTTTGCCAATAACATGTTGTCAAATGAATAATTTTGAAAAGAATTGTAAACATATGATTGCCTGTCTTCCTTCTTAATGCTACCATGATGAGGGCTTCTTTTGTTTTTTTTTTTTTTTTTTTGCGAAGAAAGCAGCCGCTGACTTAAGCCAGTAAAAAAGCCTTCTATGTATCTGCGCCTTTAGTCATATTAAGAATTCGATATTTTAAAAAATTCGCGATCTTAGTGACTTCTTTTGAATTAAAATATTAGTGAAAAAACCAAACAACTCATTGCATTTGCTATTTGTAAATTTGAAAGTACATGACTCTATGTTCGGAATCGTATTTCCACAATCTGCACTACCATGAAATTATTGCATTTTTACACGATCACATTTGTCTAGTAAATAGTAGCAACAGACAAACCCCTATGTGCGTTTTCTCTTAATTTTAGATTTTTTTAGCTTTTCGTTTACGTGAACGGTGTAAAAATAGCACAGATTGCAGGATATAAAAATAATGTTTTTTTTTTTTTTTTGACAGCAAAAGAACACAAAAACTGTCATTAAGGTATCACCTTGTAAGACAACGGGGGGCATTATTCACATTTCCGTTAGTAAAATATTTTAACGGTGTCACCCAGTTACTCATAGAAAACCTCATTTTTTTGTTTTCTTTTCCTAAATGATTTCAATGGTGCAAACTCTGCCAGAATACGCCAACACAAAGTGGTGTATGCAAATTTTGAATTTCACTTCATTAATTGTCAGTTAGTGACACTTTTCAAAACAATTAAAATTTAATTTTCAAAGAAAATTAAACTCAAAATTGTATCAGTGAATATTTTAAATTATTTTGAAACATGTCTTATCAAATAAAATCAACACCGTATTTTCAAAGAATTATCTCGGCAAGTAAGAAGAATGGCCAATTGCAACAATTGAAGGAAGAATATGAACGTATTAAGGATTTCGATGAAAAGGCCATTGAGAAGAAAATGCGTCAGGTTCGTCTTAAAAGATTATTCAAAGAAATTGAAGATCTGAAACAGGCAAATCGCAGTAGAAGGAAGCGCTCAGTTGTTACGGATGAAGCAACAACAATGATTCCCAATGATCCACGTGTGGAAAACGTAATAAAGGGCCGGAAATTGGGTGAATACTATTCACAACTTAATGGTTATGATGAGGTGCCAACCACAAGCAAAATGCCAGCTATAGAGCCATCCGTGGCTCTGAGAATCGGTTTACTGTCGAAGAAACAAATACAAGAACGTTCACGTCAAAGAGAAGAAAAAATGAAAGCCAAGGTTAACGATCGCATCAACTATGGCAATCGAATATCCAATTGGAATATGCATAAAATGTTGCAGCGAAAATTGCATCACGAAGTTTCGGAAGGCATAAAGCAAACATTCTGTGCTGTGGTTAAGGGAAATAAATCATTTAGTCGTCAAGATTCCAATATGGCCAGTGAAACTTCTTCTGTGGATGGCAAAGAACGTTTGAAAACTCGCATCGATTTTGGCAACTATTTATCTCAAAAAAATCGGTTAGTGGTAATGAAAAGAAATTGGAAAAAATCTCGAGAACCTAAGGAAAGTAGTAAACAAGACAACACTCATAGTTCCAGTTTAATTGTAATTGATTCATCTAAACATTCGCATGGGGTGGGAGAGGAACTTTCATATAAAAGTGCCACTGGAATATCGGATGCAGTTAATTGGGAGAGGCGAAAAAAGGCCCAGGAAAATTGGCATAAATTGACGTTCCTAATACTTTGTCGAAAAGCTCTAATTGGAAATTGTACGGAGGGATTGGCCTTTAAACTTCGTTGCATATCTAATGATACCAACATTAGGCAAAACGATTTTGTATTGCAAAGAAATTCATCGTTGGAAACATGTGACACTGAGGAAGAATGTCGGGAAATTCTAAGGAATAAACAAAATCTCTTTCATAGAGAATCTATCAACATTGCCAACAAAATACAAAATAAATTGTCATTGCCATCTGTGCCCATATTAAATACCAACAAGCCACACCATCTCAGTTTGAAGCCCATTCCTAATGCGCCCACTTCAAATTTGTCAAGAGATCAACAAATCCAAAGTTTAATAGAAAATTATGCTCCCATTTCCATGGAAGTGGTTAAAAAGGAAGTAATCGAAGGTGTGCAAAAATTACGTGAAATTTTCGAACATCAAAGATCCTAGAACGAGAGAAAATTAAATCACTAATTTTAAATCTCTTTTAGATAATTTTGAGATTTTTCTGGAATGTTTTGAGATTGTTCATAAATAAAGTTTGAAGAATTTGCCAATAGAAATTTAAGCACATTTCAATGACAGTTTATATTTATCAAATAATAACGTTTACTTGTCGTCCTTGTACCCTTATCACGTGCTAACCCTTCGTTCGCGGTTATACTACCAAGTCCTCTGATGCTACCCCAAATCGAACAGAGAAATACACCAGTAAAGGGTGAAACTATTTAAAAATTAACATTAATTACTTCCCCACATTAATAATCTTCTACTCCTTATGTTGCCCTATCGTTTCCTGGACTTTTTCTATATATCCAGCTCCGGTCTGGAATTTATTCAAATGTCGCAGAACAATGTATTCCGAGTTGCAACCGTTTGTGTGGGTCACCTCCATGGGGAAAACCAGTCAGTCATGTCATCCTAATCATCATAGGGTTGAAAAACATCAATTTCCCCGACACATCCATCAGGATATTGTGTCGATCACCTCCATGCGAAGGCCAGGATGCTGTCAATCAGGCATGTCATCCTGCCATCACATGGTATTAAATGATCCATCTTCTCCGACTCATCCGACAGGACTTTAGATGCTATCGTGAAGACACCGAATATGATATTGGACGTCCACAGATAGACAAAATGGAATGCTATGAAAATAGTTCATCAAAAAATCAAAATCATAACTTTCTTTAGATGCAATAAAATCCTAAAACCACATTCACATTCGGACAGTGAGCGGCAAACACATTCTATTCTAGTACGTCGGAATACAATAACGTCCTCAATTCATACAGAATACGTATTGTGTCCAGTACCAAAAACAGGTGTCCCTTTTCTCCTACCTACAAAACAATCACGACACTCTATTTAATTGTCCAAATAATTGAAATATCTCCGGATGCCTATATCCAATTTAATGCACACAAGTTATTTTTTTCCATTTTTCTTTTCCTTTTCTAATTTATAAACTCAGGAAAAGTCCTTCGGTTCAGTAGAAATGTTGAAACAACAACAACTACATTAACGAAAACTCTTTTTATACCCTCCACCATTCTATGGAGGCTATAATAACTTTGCCATTCCGTTAGTAACTCCTCGAAATATTCATAAAAGACCCTACAAACTATATATATTCTGGATCTGACTGTTGTAATCCCGCTATCTTTCGAACGAATTGAGATAGAAGGTAGTTCACCAGTTGCCAGTTTGAAATTCGTAATGGGTACTACAGCCTATGACAAAAACTTTTTGTATGCAGGTCCAAGTCTTCGTATAGCTTCCATATAACGGTACCTCCCTATATTCGATATTTTGATGATTTCAGCACATTATTCACCGGAATCGTTTCCAATTTCGTATTGAAATCAGAACCTAATGGGTACTGCAACCTATGGAAAAAAAATTGTATGCAGGTCTAGATCTTCGTATAGTCCGGTTCGTTCAATTGGTAGTTTTCGGATTTTTTTGAAAATATTAATCGTTGACGCTACAATAATATTTTTTTCAAAATAATGCATTTCCTACTTTTTTCCTAAGAAATGAAAATGCTAAGCATGGATTAAAAAAAAAGTAATTTTATGCCTCCAGAAACTCGCCGTAGAACGTAGACTTTCCATCTAGCCACCATCTCTTTGGCCAATTCAGCTAAAAATTGTCAATTAATATTTTAACATTTTTCTTATACTTTTATGAATGCAAACAACATTTTTTTTGTATTTCTCTTTATTTTTCTGTTTTTATTAAAAATATTTAACATAAAAAATATATGTATTTCTCATTATTATATATTTTCAACATTATTAGTATATTTTCTCTTTCTATGAATATCAAAGCATAACATTCTATTATCTCCGTTCGGTTTAATAATAATAAACATAAATTTTAATGTGAAAACTGTTTAACACGCAAAAAAATATTAAGAAAAATAAAGTAACCAAGGATATGCATTGTGATCTGATACATACATAGATCCCACAAAATAGACATAAATATCTTCGAAAGTTCTGGGCGACATGATTTAAACAAACATTAAAATAAATGCTTAAAATTAGAATAGAAATATTATTACATTAACAATATTTGTTTTTAAATAGAAAACCACTTAACTGAGATTTTGTGTGGTTCTGAAGAAAAAATATAAGAATTTTGTTGAAATAGATTTTATGTTTTTAAATTAAAGCTTAACAATTATTATAGAGTAGATTTAAAAGTAAATGGTAAATATATGTATTTATAGAAAAAAAAAAAAATAATATTTTAAAAATTATAAACGATATTGCGTATATTATAATGTTTATAGGTTTACGGAAAATATACGAAATTTTCAATTTCAAATAACAAACTAAAAAAATAGAATAATTTAAGAAAAAAGGTGGGAGGGATATTTACTGGAAACTTAGAATAGTATTTTCTTTATAAAAAATAATATTGAAAGTAATTTAAATGAAAATATGTAATTAAAAAAAAAATGAACGCCGCTCTACATATTGATATGCTCTAAATAAATAAATTATATGAAAAAACTTGGTTTTCTCCCAATTCGAAACTCAGCGTTTTCGAAGATACATAACTTAAGTGGTATTACGAAATTTTTTGAAAATTATAAAAAACAAGATTGGCCATTGGATAATGTATTGGTATCACACATAGATTTCTAAATAAAAAACAAAAGGAAACGACTTAGTTTGTGAGTGCAACTTCATTCAAACAGGTGATTTAGGATTCTTAGAAGATTAAGAGCTTCTTCTTCTTTTTGGTTTTTTGTTTGTCCAAACTCAATTCGGATTCATCGGCGTCCTGCAATGAGAAAGAAAAATAAAATGCGACGTTAGTATTTTAATCTTTCTTCAATTCTTAGAACTTTAATTGTTAACAACAATTTTTCTCTTAGAAAGGTTATTATTGAACAATGTTCTCCATAGACAAGTTGTTATCGACAATTTTCCTCCATAGAAATAATATTATCAACAACTTTCCTATATAGAAAAGATGTTAACGACAACTTTCCTCCATAGAAAAGATGTTATCGAAAATTTTCCTCCATAGAAAAGTTGTTATCGACAACTTTCCTCCATAGAAAAGATGTTATCGACAACTTTCCTCCACAGAAAAGTTGATTATCGACAACTTGCTAGTATAGGAAGTATATTGTCCACACCTTTTCTATATAGCAAAGTTTTTATCGACACCTTTTCTGTGTAGCAAAGATGATGTCGGTAAACCTTTATATAGAGAAATAAAGGTTGTTTTCTACAACTTTTTTTCTGAAGATATGATATCTAAAGTTAACTTTTTCTATAGAAATGTTTATATTGACTTCAGAAACGTTTTTGTTCAATTTAGATTGCTCCCCTTACCTTATCAGCATCTAATTTTTTATTCTTTGCCAACTTTTTGGATTCCTTTTGCTTTTTCTTTTCCTTCTTCGATAGCTTCGTTGTGGATGAGGATTTCTGTTTTTCCGGTTCATCATCCCGTTTGCTTGCAATATGTGATTCCAAACGTTGTTTAATACTCTGCAGAGACGAAAACAAGAACACAATTAAAATAAATTAAATTAATTATTTTTCTAAGCAAATATACCTGATCTTCTTCGGCTTCTCTTAGACGATCCATTTCGAGGCATTCCACCACTTCATTGCGCAATTTCACCACCTCAAGCAGACGTTCTATGAACGCCTCTTCACGGGCTTTATCCGAATCGGTTTTATTGCATTCCGGTTGGGCCATAAGTACACGTATTTCATATTCTAAATCTGCTTGCTCCTGTTCCAGACGATGTTGTCGTCTCCTGTGAAGAAGAAAACAAAATTGTTTAATTATTATAAGTCACAGAAAATGTTGGAATAAAATTTGTATACTCTTTATTATTGGTTCGAAAGGAGTTATCGGTCTTCATCTTCTTGACCATTTTCAAACTTTTTTTTGAATATGGCTTCTCTTTTTCCGAAATATTTAGGATGAATAAAAATATGGCTTAGTAAAAAAAAACTAGGGCGAGTCAGGTTTGAAATATAAGTTGCATACAGATAAAGAGGGTTTGTATAAATATACTTCTGATGAAACTGAAGCGGGAGATCCGACCGATCAATAGTTTTTAGTCAAATATTTATAATTTTAAAATGTTTCCCAGTACTTTGAGAGCAGAGTTATAAAAGGCCATAAACTAATTTCAACACGAAAATATAAAATATAGGACAAACTCGGCAGATTATGAAAGTAGAGCTGAAAAAAGACACATGCATCGGTGTGTCTATTATCTGAAATTTCGTATTAAGATTCCATGGAAACCGTTCATTTTAGCTATATAGTGTCTTCAGCAATATTACAGAAAACAATAAACCATGCGAGTCACCAAATTGATGATACCTTTTTTATAATAATAAGTTTACAAATCTCTTTTGTTCAGAGAATTACATTGAAATTGGATCTAGAATATTTCTTCCTTTGACACTTTTCCCAAAAAAATGAAGCATTATGGGAGATTTTGACTCAGAATGGAAATGTGTTAAATTAGCAGCAAAAAATGTAAACACATAATTTCCACTCGAATGTAATTTTCTTTAAAACTATTGAACCTAGATATATGGGTTGTATTGAGATTTAAAGTAAAATGTTTTGTAGAATATTTCTTCCTTTGACACTTCTGCCTAATACGAATTTTTGTTGCATCAACTCGAAAAAAGGTCGATCAAAACAAATAGGAAATAATTTGGTGTTTTATTTCGCATCATTGATGCAAATATTTTCCAGGGGGTAAGCCAGGAATACATTTTTTTCAGAAAGAACCAATAATCCTCATCAGTTCCCTTGGATTATGATTAGACCTTTGATGACAAATAAATGTGTAGAATAATTCCACTTTCCAGGATCCCGCTTAAGCAATTTTTTTAAAGAACTAAAAAGTCTACTTCAAAGGAATCTTAATTCAAGAATTTCAAAAAATGGGAATGAGGGTGAACTTTTCTCCGCTATTAAGGCTTCATTTCCATTTAAACTCTCAAAATGCCGATGCACGTGTCTTCTATTTTTATTTGCACTTTCATAATCTGCTCGATTTTTCCTGCCCATTTAAACTCTCAAAATGCCGATGCACGTGTCTTCTATTTTTATTTGCACTTTCATAATCTGCTCGATTTTTCCTGTAATTAATGAAAAAAATTTCGAATTTTGTCGCCCAATGTAATTTAGAACCAATGACTATTTTAAAATATTAATAAACAAAATATTTTAATACTTACAAATACATCAGTTCAGCTTGTCTTCGGAACAATTCGTTCTTCTCATTGACCAATTCGAACAGTTGTAGAATTAGACCTTCAACTTCTTTGGAATTCTCACCATCTGTGGTGGCAATTTCACCGGCTGCATTCAACAGCTCACCATTCTCACCTTCGCAGCGATCACGTATCATCTTCTCGAGAATAACACCCTGTTTCTCGAGACCCTGCTGCTGGACTTCAATGATATCCAATTCATGTTTAATTTCCTGCAGTGGCAACATTTGCAATACACGTCGGGGTGGTATGGGCAAAGCAGGGGCTGGACCCTTACGCCTCTTCCATTTACCATGGACGGATTTATTGAACAGCGGATCATTGTCTTCGGCCCCTGATGAGGCGGCCGATATTTGAGATTGTCGATTGCGATTATTGGCTTCCTTGTTGTCTTTAAGTTTTTCCAATTGTCTTTCACCCGTCATGATGCTGTTGGAGTTGTTTAGTTCATCCAAAAGGGGATTTGATTCGTGGGTGAGGGTATCCAAATTGTGAGGTATGAGGAGACGTCTATATACCACATTGGGTTCGGATTGATCGTGGAGATAGGATTTCTGGTTTTGTTGTTGATGTTTTAGGTCGTCACATTGACTTTCATTCGTAGCATGCTCCTCCAATAGATCCTGATCGAGCGGTATTAAACGTTTCGAACTACGCCTGGTGGTGGCTGGCGAAAGATCTGTGGGATTATGATTCAGCTGTGACTGTATAGTCTTACCCTCCAACAAAGCTTTCTCTTCGTCGGATAATTTCGAGTCCAATTCACTCTGCAGAGGGTAACTATGCAAGTTTTTTGGCTGCGTAGTAATGGTGTCAATTTGAATTTGTGGTACGCTGTTGGGTTCCAGCCGGGCTGGCTTTGGTGGAGCCGGTGCGGGTCTCTTCTTGCGCCCAGATTTGGGGGTACCCACGGTGCTGGAACTTGGTGTGGATGCCTTGGAGCTGGTGTTGATGGTCTCCGAGGAGGGAAACAGTTCCTTGACCGGGGCTGGTGGCAATGGAGCTCGGCGAGTTTTCCTTGATCTTATTGTACCTCCAGCTGAGAGATTGAGTGAGTTGTTGGATGATCTGATATCGGAATTACGCAAGAGATTATTGTTGGGTGTTGCTCCGGATGACAGATTATGATGGCTGTGCAATGAGTTGTTACTGCCATAAAAATCGCTGGAATTTTGTAAAACAAATGAAGAATTGTTGTGTGATGTTGCTGCTGTTGCTGCCGTGTTGGCGGCGTTGTGCTGAAGATGACTGTTGTTGCTGCTGTTCACCAGATTGGCCTTTGTGCTGAGACGTGGTGTTGCTTCTGGTGTGGGATTTAGGGATTGCGATCTAAGTTTGTGTGGTGGAATATATTTGTATTTTAACATTTTGTTTGAACAGAGACAGAGAAAAAGGTGATGGAGGGGGATTTGCAAATAAAGATGTATGTAGGTGGTGTTGGTGGTGTATGGAGGTGAAAAAGCTTTGTAGATGTTTAACACATTATGTTTGCAGAATTTATTTAATTTTTCGGTCGGCACTTTAGATGAGCAATGTTCTGTTTCGAGTGGCACTTAATAACTGAAATTGAAATGTTTAAAATTTTAAAGACTTCTGGCCAGCTGACAAACAGGCAGGTTCAGTGACCAGGTTATTCCGTTTTTGGTTTGCAAGCCAAAAATTTGAAATTAAAATAAACAAACAACTAGGGAAGAACTTGGCCACGGCTACCAAGGAAACTTTTTCCGATTTAGGTGTGACACAATGCGTTTTATTTTTTTTTTCGTTTTTTCTTTGATGAAAAGTGACGCCAAAAAAGAAATTTCTGTGCCACTTGGTTGCCGTCGATGGTGTTGTTGCTGTTGTGGTTTTGAATATGAAACCCCAATGGCAAAACGGAACTAAGACCGTTACTTCATTTGGTAATGGCAGCTTGTTGGATGGATGGCGTTGTTGATGATGATGACGATGATTATGACCAACATATGCATGAGGCGTTATTGCCAACAGAAATGATGACCAGCAAAAGGCAAAAATGACAGACACGAAGCAATGAAAGTGCGCATGCGTAACACAAGAAATATTATGAACAATTCAAGTTAACAGAACCGCACCGTTGTCCAAATGGACGTTATCCGTCACATGCATATGTTTTTGTTGCTGTTTCTAACGTCTTGTAAAATTTTATTTTTGTAATTTTTATTTCTGCTTCTGTTATGCTTGGCAAACCCGGCACAATACCGACTAACTAAGTGGTTGAATTAGCGCGGCAAACCGTGGAATAATAAAACGTCATATGACACCCACTTGCAACATGGATGATGGGGGTTCGAGGTTCGTTGTTCCTCAATTAATTTTTTGCAACAAAAAAAAAAGCACACTTCTTCATATAAGGTCTATGTTGGACTTATGATATCAAAAAAAAAAAAAAAAAAAAAAAAAAAACACAATTTGTTTATATATTCTATGTGGAGAAAAGAACGTTAACACGATTCTGAAACGACCACGACGAGACGAACCGATCAAACTTAACGCCGCACGTACAAAATGTTGTTGTTTGGTTTACAGCTAATTTAGAACTGACATTCATGTTAGTAATATCTTCTATCCAAAGTCGAAATAGTTTCCTATACATGTGCCTGGCCTGGCCTGGCCTAGCTCACTGGTGCTGCTACACACACGAAAATTCTTGCCCACAATATAAGCAATGATGTTGTTGTTCTACGCTCAATACCATTTCCAGTGTGGTTTCTGTTGTTGCTGTATTTTTTACGTTACAGCCATTATGAAGAGGTGTAAGTAAGGCCGACGGACGGCATAGTTTTGTTGTTGTGTTTCTAATATAACCTAATCAGGGTGTCGGTCTTAGATAAATCAACAAGTCTTGCACGTTGTGTGTGCGTATCAACAGCAACAACACCAAAAAGCAATATTACTAGCCAAAATTGTAATCAGTGGGAGGGGGGAAAATATATTCCAAATTATATTTTTTGACTTCGTGCTAATGATTACATTCGTGGTGATAACCGGGCGAATGGGGAAGTAAAATAAAAAAAACGAGTCAATAACAAATTGTGAATATTTAAGACAAATGTCAAATGAGTTACAATATCAAGATCAACAAGTTGTTTTGCTTGAGATTTTCGGAAGAGTAATAAATGAAAGTGGTCTGGAATTGGTAAAAATAACTGTCTCCGAGCATATGTGCCTGCGAAAGAAATTATATTCGTGATGGAAATAAGCAGTAAACCAAATTGTGGGTGTAATCTCTTTCTGAGAAAACTAAAAGATGACATGTTTTTATGGGAATTCATAACAAGATCTCAAATCTTATGACAAAACTTATCTTTAAGCAGAAAAATTGAAAATCGGAATGGTAACAGTAACAAATTATTGGAGTTGGGGAAAACATATTAACCTATCTTTGTTATATTCGGATCTAATTATTTTATACCCTCCACCATTCTATGGAGGTTATATTAGATTTGTCATTCCGCTTTTAACTCCTCAAAATATTCATGATAGCCCTACAAAGTATATATATACTGGAACAGCGTAAAATTCTGTTGTAATCACACTATCTTTCAAAGAAATCGAGATAGAATGGTAACATTTTGCATACATACATATTTCCCCAGTAGGTAGGTTAAGTTCGTAAATGGGCCATGTCGGTCCACGTTTTCGTACAGCCCCCATATAACGGTACCTCCCGATATTCGATATTTTCATGACTTTAGCAACAGGATTTACCAGGATCGTTTCAAATTTCATATTGGAAGATCTTAATGGGTACTACAGACTATGACAAAATTTTTTGTGTGTATGTCCACGTCTTCGTATAGCCCCCATATAACCTCCTGATTTTCGGAATTTTGATGATTTAAGCAACATTATACACCTGAATCGTTTTAAATTTCGTACTGGAAGATCATATTGGGTACTACAACCTATGGCAAAAAAAATTGTACGCAGGTTCAGATCTTCGTATAGCCCCCATGTAACGGTACCACCCGATATTCGGTATTTTGATAATTTCAGCTACATTATTCACTGGAACTGTTTCAAATTCGTATTTGAAGTTCATAATGAGTACTACAGCCTATGACAACAAATTTCGTATGCAGGTTCACGTTTTCGTATAGCCCCCTATAACGGTACCTCCCGATATTCGATATTTTCCTGATTTTAGCGACATTATTCACCGAAATTGTTACAAAATTCGTATTTAATTTTCGTAATGGGTACTACAGCCTATGGCAAACAAATTCGTAGGCAGGTCCAAATCTTCGTATAGTCCCCATATAATGGTTGGTTTTTCAAAACTTAGACCCTTTGTGAACGAGGTGCCAAAAGGAATGGCACCTACCATCTTAATAACAGATCTAGTGTTGATAGAAATATTGAGATGTACCAAGTCTAAATGAAATTGGATGTTAATTTCCTGAGCTTCGTGGATATTCAAAATCTTAACCCTTTCTGGGGGAGTTAATAGACGCACTGAGCCGATATATTCCGTCTTTACACTAGACCTTGGATTAATGAAAGTATTGTGATGTGTGCAATTCGAAGACAATCGGATTCTTACATCAATTTTTATAAGAATTATAATTATTCAAAATTTTGACACGTTGTGTGTACTTGATGGAGTGGACCGATATTGTCTACTTTAGCACCTGACCTAGCACTGATGCAAATATTAAGATTTATAGGATTATCCTTTCTTTTTATGTGCAGTAAAATATTTTTTATAAAATTTTGTCCTTCTGTGGGGGAGGTACAAGAAGGAGTGGACCGGTATAGCCGATCTCCGAACTCGATCTAAGTTCGATAATAATATTACGATGTACCTAGTTTGGACAAAATTGGATACTCCTTTCGAGAGATATCGTGCGCACCACCCAGTCAGACATCGCTAGATCGACTCCAAATGTCCTGAAACGGATTTTGTCTATAGAGACCTGGGATCGAAATCCGTTTTTTCGATGTGGTACGTTTTGGCCGTATCAAATGACATATACCCTCTCAAGCCATATGGCTGAGGATATGAAAATCTATACATTTTGGTCATGAAATCTGTCCGAAAATATTTTAACAGAGTAAGAGTTTTCGCCTGGAAGTCTTTTAGAAAGAATTTTTTTCAACGTCGCGGACTTGAGCCAAAGAATCATTAAAAAAGTCTTCCTGAAAGCCCTTATTATTTACAATGAAATAAATAAATTTTAAAAATGATTAAAAATCTATAATTCTTACCATAAAATCAAAAAAATACAAAAATATTGCAATGATAATTCTTCACAATTGACATCTTAGCCAATCAAAAAAAAAAAAAAAACAAGCGTGGAATCATTCTGCGACTTTTAAATATGCCAAATTTCTTATCTTAAGTTTGGAAGTAAGTTTCACTACTACTTTGAGAAGGAGTTGGTTTTTTTGTAAACATCAAAATTACACCTAATTTGGTTGGAGTACATGTCTGAAAACTACAGAAACTCTTAAATCGGCAGGTACCGCTATATAGGGTCTATAAAACATAGTGGACCTATAGTGAAGAATTTTTGTGAGGGAGAACTTACACATTAATAACTCGGAATTTTAAATAAATTTCAGATGATTTGTTCGAAAACTGTGGCTGGACTAAAAACCAAAACCGACTCTTTAGGGTCTCCAACCAATATTTCGAGTTGATGCAAACGAGGATTTTTAGTCCTTAGGGTATATCAATCAAATTTTTTATTTCTTTAAAATTGTTTCTTCTGATGTTTTTCTTTTTGTTGTTTTTTATATTTAGTGTTTAAAATTTAAACTGTTTTCACGATTTTTCTCAAAGCAAAAAAACACCTGACAACAATGCAAGTGAGATGAAGCCAAATAATAAAAAAAAAAAAACAATAAAAAGAAACATCACTTTTAAATGAAAACGAAAACCTCATCACCACACGACGACGAATATGGATGATAATTACATCGCGCATGCAATGCTTATTGGCAGTAGACCACAACAAGTAAATCCATACACACACACACTCATGCACACGAAAAATGAGTTGACAATTTTGTTGTTCTGCTCGAAGACAATAAAATCCATTAACTCTACAACTAGCAAGATGCTTAAAAACAAATGTCGTGCATTTGAAACTATTAAACGAAACAATTTTCTTGTAGACCGGACCCTATCTACAAACCGGAAGTTTTTTTCCTATGTTTTGTTGCGGTATAGTGTAATGCAAGATATTTGAGTTACCAGACACTGCCACAGCTACCAGCATTGGGTCGTGCTGCCAAATTTGCCACTGCATTTAGCACCGCAATTAGAGCCTACCCTTCAGACTTTGGTTAAAAGGTTAACAACA